TCTTTTAATATCGTTTTATACTTATTAGCTTCTAATATAACTATTTTATGAAACACTTGAAATAATTTATCAACTATGAGCTAATTACTATTAACTACTAATCATCAATTATATAAATTACTATCAATTACTATAAGCTAACATCCAACTTGTAACTTATCAGCTATCGATTAAAAACTTTATTTTAATTTATTTAAGAAGTTTGTTCAGTTACAATACTATAAATTAATTATTTAAAATGCAATTATCAATTGAATTGCATTTATAAAGACAATTGAAAAGTACTTTTTAGTAAAATAAATGTTAAATGGTCGTTCAAGATGCATTTTTAACTGTTTTAATAATAATAATTAATGTAATATTCGGGCGTTCGCACTCATTGAATTAAGTAAAGTTCATTTAAAAAGAAAAAATAATCAAATGTTATGATATTATCTATAATAAAAAATAATTTAAATAAAAGAATAATTTAATTTGTAAAATTCTATTTTGCATTTGTTAGTTTATGCAATGAGTATAAATCAATAAGATGAAATAGTTTTAATTAAAGAAATAATGTAAAATTAAAATAGTAACAAAAATATATCATTTTTATTTATATCATTTATACTATTTCATTTGAGTATAAAGTACAAACACATATAATTTTTAATCAAAATATTTAGCTAAGATATATTTAATTTGTAAACTAAATACTTATATATTTAATATGTCTGAGACTTTTTCATTAATATTAGTTTCTCAACAAGTCTCTAGATTTTCTGGTGCAGACGAACTTTTCTCTTTAGAGGGATATATGTGTGTTCGCAGAGATACCGGTATGGTATGCGTATTTGTTTCCAAAATATAATAAAAATAAAATCAATTTTTTTTAAAAGAGATAATAAATCAGTGTCTATATTTATTTCAATATATAAAAATATTTGAATCAATAACATATATGCTGTTTATATATAAATATTATTTTTGTTTTGGAATTATTGTCCAAAATATTTAAACAAATAATAAAGTTGTTATATTATTATTTAATATTTTGATCAGTAACTTTATGTTTCCGTTAATATTCAATAGTTTGATCAATAACTTCATGTTTCCGTTAATATTATAAGTAATTTCATATTTCCGTTAATATTCAATAGTTTGATCAATAACTCTATGTTTCCGATAATATTCAATATTTTGATAAGTAATTTTATGTTTTCGTTAATATTCAATATTATGATTAGTAACTTCATGTTCACGTTAATGTTCAATATTTTGATTACTAACTTCATGTTACCGTTAATATTCAATAGTTTGATAAATAACGTCATGTTCCCGTTAATATTTAATATTTCAATCAGTAAATTCATGTTTCCGTTATTATTCAATATTTTGATTAGTAATTTGTTTCCATTAATATTCAATATTTTGATCAATAACGTCATGTTCTCGTTAATATTCAATATTTTAATTAGTAAATTCATGTTTATGTTATTATTCAATATTATTTTCAGTAACTTCATGTTCCCGTTAATATTTAATATTTTGATGAGTAATTTAATATTCTCTTTATTATTCAATATCTTAATCAGTAATTTCATCTTTCCGTTAATATTCAATAGTTTGATCAATAACTTCATGTTCCCGCTAATATTTAATATATTGATAAGTAACTTTATATTTTTGTTAATATTCAATATTTTGATCAGTAGCTTGATGTTCCTATTAATATTTAATAGTTTGATAATTAAATTCATGTTCCCGTTAATATTCACTATTTTGATTAGAAACTATATGTTCTTGTGAATATTCAATTTTTTATAAGTAACTTCATGTTTCCGTTAACATTCAATATTTTGATCATATTTTTAAAAGAAAGAGATATTTTTAAATTAAAAATAAATTCAATATTTTATTTATTAATTTTTAATAAAAATAGATAAAATTGCCTAATCAAAATTATTTATTATTTTTAATATATATATATATATATATATATATATATATATATATATATATATATATATATATATATATATATATATATATATATATATATATATATATATATATATATATATATATATATATATATATATATATATATATATATATATATATATATATATATATATATATATATATATATATATATATATATATATATATATATTATCTATTGTATTTTAAGTTAAAAATAATTTTAAAATAAAATATTAGATACATAAATAATTAAAAAAATAATACATTTTTTCGTGTTTGGATTCATAAATTATTTTAAATATATTTACTTTTATTTTCTGTAATTGTATAAAAAAATGTAATAACCCGTGCGTTCACATCGATTTTGGTCTGGTTACCCGTGCGTTCACACAGTATTGATGTGTAATTCGTGCGTTCACACAGATCTTGACCTGACTACCTGTGCGTTCACACGATACTGATGTGTTACTCGTACGTTCACACGTTATTAATGTATTACTCGTGTGTCCGCTCAGATTCTAGTGTGTTACTTGTGAGTTTGTAAAAGTACTTGTGTGTTACACACACTTTTATTTTCAAAATGTAATAAAAAAATTTAATAAAAAAACCAAAATTATTTAACCAAAATTAATTTATTATATAGTGGTGATATTCTTCTACAAATATGCGAACTATCCTCTCCCTTTGTCTTGGATCTATCCTCTCCCTTTGTTTTGGATCTCTCAAATAATAGAGATTAATTATAAAAATTACTAACAATATTGTCCATGACACAATATTATAAGTCAAATTATTTAGAAAGTAGCACAAACAATATGATGCTTTGAAAATATTATTATATAGAAATCAAGACAATATTAATATTATATTTTATCATAATCATAATTAATTAATATATAGAAAACAGTAAAACTATAATTCCACCGTGATTAGTGCCATTTAGAATACTGAACCACTTAGAAAACTATAATCGGTTGACTATTTTAAATTAACAATTATTTAACTTACATTATAATTTTAAACTATAATCGGTTGACTATTTTAAATTAACAATTATTTAATTTATATAATAATTTTATTAATGTTTTGAATGCACACCACGTCACCATCTATACCATTAGAAAGTTAGAAAGAGTCTATACTATCGTCCTAAATAAAAGCCACACCACATCACCAACTATACTAGTAACAATCAAGAATCATGCTTAAAAAAAATAGAAACACCTTATTTGTTGTACAATCTCACACATTGATTTGAGATACATTTAAAAACCCAACTATATTTGATACCATGAAAATAAATAAATCAGAAATAAAATTTATACATTAAAAATGATAATCAAAACTATTCTAACATAATGTGTACATTAATGAAGAGAGTGTGTACATATTACAATCTTACTTTTAACATATCTAAAATTCCAAACCAAATAGTCATAAAAACAATTAATGTGTTTGTATTTTAATTTATACATTAAATATGAAACATGAGAAGTGTCCTTGCCGAGCAAATCGGCAAGTCCAAAATCTGAAAGCTTTGTATTGAAATCCTCATCCAGTAAGATGTTGAATGTTTTAAAATCTCAAAATATTAGCTGCATCAGATATAATGGGAATCAGTATTTTATTACTATCGAAATCGTTTATAATAGAACCAAATCCACCACACCAGAATACTTCGCGACATACAGAATCATTATCACATTATTAGTTTATAGAAGCAGATAGAAATGTGACTTTTGGTTCAAAAATTTCTAAGTTGAGAATTACTAACTGCTTTTGGGATAAGAAAACCTGAAAGAAGATTCCATAGGGAGTAAAAAGCTAAAGAAGTAATAGCAGTTAAATGTTGTGAAGATGTAAAACCAACCTTAATCATTCCTTAAAATGTGAAGTAGGTAAATGTTAAGAAGATGAACAATAGATAGAGAATAAATTTCCCGCAGTAAGTACAATCTATTCATTAAAAGTGGACATTAAAAGTTATGTAATGGACTATCCAACAGCTTCATAAACTGCAACATATGTGAGATGAATATAATACCAAACATGGAGATATACAAATGACAATAAATCTTGCATGATTTAGAGAGTTATCATCATATCTACATAGTTAAGAGATGCACTTCATATGATATAGCATATGGCCTGAGCTGAAAAATATCATAAAACTGTCCAACATTGAGCAAAAACAGTAGACTGTGCTTCTCGCAATTCTAATATCAGGATTAGACTGTGCTCAGTTGCCCTTGTATGATGATTAAACTACTAAGAGATTATTACATATTATGCGTAAACAAATTAACATTGGTATGGAATAGCTATTGCACATGAATACTTAATTTGCCAAATATAAAGATCATGTTACTTATCTTTGAGGTTCATGCGAAATTGATATGCAGTTCATAATAAAAATCCAAATATGGTCTTCCAAACACCACCCAACTAAACTACTTCGATTTTATTTTATTCAGTCTTGTCTAACTAGTAAATTATACTGCAAAATAGTGAACAAAACTGAGAATACTTTTATCATTCAAAACAACATATCCTTCTTCATACACCATTTTAAATTTGAAGATTTTCTAACCTGAAATAATTCTAAAGCAGCATTAACATTCCATTCTTTGAGCTTAGCCATTGCCAAATCATTGCGCACCAATATGTGCTTTCGTTGATGACATGTTTTATACCACAGTTATTGATGTTGCCAACGACTTTGGTGTCTCATATTTTCTCTAATTCACTTATGGTATTTCTTACCTTGGTATGGTGCTTCATCTTCACAGACTTATCGAAAACAACTTAGAAGCAACACAATCTTCTAAAATCTCGCATGCATTATCACAACATCCAACTGTCAAGGTCAAATAACTTGCATACATTATGTACTATTAGAATCTCAAAAACCAGTTAGCTTACAAATTGACAGTTAGAATATTTCACTATAAATTGACAGTTAGCTTACAAGCATTTTGTACAGTTAGAATCTAAAAAACCAGCTTATTTCAAAAATCATGTTTTCTGGTAAAAGCTTATACAGGTGGGGAACCAATTTTTATGGCATCGTCATTTGTTGCGGCAGCACCGAGAATAGATTTCTCCAGACATTCTCTCGACGGGCATTCTACCAGGAGAATAACACAATCAGTAAATTATATCTTAAATTAAAAAAATTTAAAATAAAAATAATAGTAACATAAATAATTAAGAAATACTTGATTATTTACCAAATAGATTGATTATATTGCAATATAAATACTTGAATTTGATGAGTGCTCATAATGACATTCAATATTAGCAAAAGAACCTTTTCATGAAGTTTGAAGACTAATAATTGGAAATAAGATGAAAATTCCTCACCTGTTATCACAACATCTTTAAGATTCCGACCATGATATGCAACACGCAAGATACACATCAAATAATTTTTTCTTTAAATTAAGGATATCGAATGGGACCAAGTGGTAATCTTTAACATTTAAAGTCATTGTCTTGGCTTTGTGAATGCGTATAGTGTCACGAGAACTTGTTGTAATAAAATTAGATAATTTGTCATTACATGGAAAAAGAATGCATTAAGTTTGATCTTTTTTTCAAGAGATGGTTATATATTGTACATTCAATATCTTCTGGTTTGGCTCAAAGGATCTTAATCATACGCCCTGCCAGCTTTGACAAACCGGCCCTTCACGCGTCTTCGGATATCAGCCATTTCCTTGCGAGAAAGCACCACTCTCCGAATCACTACAAAGTACAAGTATTTAATTTGATTGTTCCAAATCAGCTTTTTTCAGAGCATCAATAACCTGAAAGTGTAATAAATCTTTTTAAACTTAAGAACACCAGTAACTAATCTAGATTCAGGTGTCCATGGATGGTTATTTACTACATCAACCTGCAGAGCAGAAATACCATTCCAGCTCAAGCTAGTAAGAAGTGCACCTACAGATAGTTAGAGGATCAATAAAAGCGACATTGTAGAGTTTCTGAAAGTTCTTATTTCTGAGCAAACTGGAGTACCAGTGGAAATTATTTTATTGTTAAAAACATTAATATAAATTCGGTTCTAAAGATTAATTCCGGAATCAACAGCTTCAAATCAATTATAAACATATAATCAATTATACCCGAGATAAGAAATCGGAGAGGCATATTTCTTCTGTGGGTGGTATTCTTGGTGAGTGAATAGAATAAACACCAGGACCAATTCCAGTGATATATATAACTTCTTCACGGAAGAGATATAATAACTTCTCATCTGATATGGAATTCTCGATGGTGATCACATTTGCATCCATATTTGTGTTGGGAACTTAGGAGACACCAAAGAGCTTAAGAAATAAGCATTAAAGAAAACACCTTGCATAGTAATAACAAGACCACTCTCATACCACATTGGTTTCTCCACTTCCATGAATGTCATTAGATTAGATGCATCCGCTTGTTCTCAGCTTCTTCTAGTAATGCTTTGATCTATCAACAAATGTGCTCGAATTGACGCAATGATTTGTAGTGAAGTAACATTCTGTTAGAACATAATTTAGTTCTACAGCCCAGCAAGAGTTTTGATGATAACAAACACATGATATAAAGAACAAATATGTTTGCTAATAATAAGTATCTTTACATGCAGAAGTTCTGATGTGAAAAAGATGTTCTAATGCAACTGGAAGATCTGCCAGAACATCATCAGAAGTTCTGATTATGCAAGCACAGAAGTTAAGTGGACCATGAAAGATTCAGCAGCATCAAATATGCATAACACGTTTATATGAAGAAGTTCTGTTTGAACTTCTGAATGCACCAGCGCAGCAAAACAGTATATCTGATACTGTCTCTCAAGCGTTACAACTCCATCAATGCAAGATCATATGCAACGGCTACAAACAAATAAGAATCTCCTGTTTTGGAAAGCTCATTAAACGCGTGTTATGGACATACCAAAAGTATCTTCTTATGTCTCTATTGCAAAACCTATATAAAGAAGACTAGAAGAAGATTTCAGATGAGATGAACAACGACACAAAACGTGAAAAGTCAGTAAAGCTACAAACAGTCTTCATCTTCATCAATTCATTATTAAGCTGTGTAATACATCACAAGTTTGTGATACTGTTTAGTTAGAAACACCTTTGTACACTTTTATATACAATTATCTGTTTAGTGAATTTCCTTGAGGAAACCGGGTTGTGGTTTCGGACTCAAGAAGGCTTTAGCAGTTGCTAAAGAAGTTGTAATATTCAGTTGGATATAGTGAATTAAGTCCTCGTTGGAGAGAAGCGAAATCACCTTGGCGGGTGGACTGGAGTAGTTTGAGATCAAACGAACCAGGATAAAAATACAGTGTTGTCTGCATTTGATTTCCAGTTTTACAATTCAACCCCCCTTCTTGTGTTTTTCACTTCTTCAATTGGCATCAGAGCGCTTGGTTCTGAGCTTTTAACACTTAACCGTGTCAGTACAAGATCCAGCGTAAGAAAAACACTATGGTGGGAACGAGTCAGAACATCAGCATTAGTCCTCCAATATTTGACGGTGAAATTTTTGACTACTGGAAGGATATGATCAGAAGTTTCTTCCTAGGCTACGATGCTGACCTCTGGGATGTGGTAACTGATGGATACATACATCCTGTTGCTGAAAGCGGTCAGAAGATTGACAGAAAAGAAATGTCTGATCAGCAAAAGCGTGATTTCAAAAATCATCACAAGGCCAGAACGATTCTCCTGAGTGCCATCTCATATTCAGAGTATAAGAAGGTCACAAACAGAGAAACAACTAAGAACATGTTTGATTCTCTAAGAATGACGCATGAAGGAAACTTGCAAGTAAAAGAAACCAAAGCCCTTGCGCTCATTCAGAAGTACGAAGCCTTCAGGATGGAAGAAGACGAAAACATTGAAACAATGTTCTCTAGATTCCAAACTCTGGTGGCAGGGCTAGAGGTGCTGGACAAAGGGTACTCAACTGTGGATCATGTAAAGAAGATCATCAGAAGTTTACCAAAACAGTGGAGGCCAATGGTCACGGCGCTGAAGCTAGCTAAGGATCTCAACAAAATCTCTCTGGAGGAACTTGTCAGCTCCCTCAGAAGTCACGAGATAGAGCTCGAAGATGATGAGCCTCAGAAGCAATGTAAGTCTCTCGCTCTAAAATCTAACAAATATAAAACCAAAATTTTGCAGGCAGAAGCAGAAGCAGAAAACTTAAGAGAATCCTCATCAGAAGAAGAAGAATTGTCTTCTCTATCTAGAAGAGTCAATCATCTATGGAAGCACAGGCAGAAGAAGAAAGGCCTCATGGCAACATGGGACGATTCAGACACCTCTGAAGCTGACTCAGAGTCAGATAATGAAAGAGAAAACATAGCTCTCATGGCAAACATATCAGAAGACAATGAAGCCTCTGGTTCAGACTCAGAATCACACACTGAAGAGGTATTCCCTAACTTTGCAATTAATCTGTCTAAAACTGATCCTGCAGAAAGTCTGAGCGAGATTCTGGAACGATATCAGCAGCTCAGAGTCAAATGCAAGAACCTGAAAAAGGATATTGCCTCTGACTCTGAAGAAACCAAGAGTCTGAGATTAGAAAACTCTGAGTTAAAAGAAAAATTTCAAAACTAGAAAATAATTTACAAAACTCTCAGAAGGAAATAATCTCAGAGGATCTCATTAATGCTGATAAGATCATAAAGGAATATGATCAAAGCTTTCAGAAGTTTATGACTAACAACATAGATAGAAGTAAAATAGCTTCAATGATCTATGGAGTCAGCAAGAATTGCAGAATAGGTATAGGATACAAAGGAAAAGAATCTCAACCTAAGAAAGTTAAGGATTTGGTTATCAAACGCACTTTTCTCTATTCTCACTTAACCACTGAACAAACACACGATATCAAACATGTTGGTAAGGCGTTTCATACTAAACCAAAATTCAAACATAATTTTGAAAACTCTAACAATCATGGACCCAGAAAGATATGGGTACCAAAAGACAAAATCATCTATGTTGCAGGTATTTTTAACAGCAAGGTTGAAACTCCAGTATTAACACCTGGACTATGGATGTTGTCTACACATAGAGGAAAGAAAGCATATGTTCCAAGGCCTGGAATTTAAAAGATTCGCAGGTTTCAGAGGCAATCAGAAACAAAAGATTACTGGCTCTGAAACTATTTGAAACAGGAATGGAAATACAGCATCAGAAGCTCTCTATAGAATCTCAGAAGTATCCATAAGAGGATGTCACACTGTTTAAAGCACTTCTGTCAGAGCAAGCCAATAAAAGTCTTTACCACTTTTTGATTCCTGACAAAAAGGGGGAGAATGGAGAATATTTTGTGTTGACTCATAATCAGAATATCGTCAGGGAAGTATTTTATTTTATTTTATTTTCTTCATAGCTGAGTACTCTACTCAGGGGGAGCCTTCCTTTTAATTTTTGTTCTTTATTTTCCATCAAAATATATTAGTTTTTGTCATCATCAAAAAGGGGGAGATTGTTAGAACATAATTTAGTTCTACAACCCAACAAGAGTTTTGATGATAACAAACACATGATATAAAGAACAAATATGCTTGCTAATAATAAGTATCTTTACATGCAGAAGTTCTGATGTGAAAAAGATGTTCTAATGCAACTGGAAGATCTGCCAGAACATCATCAGAAGTTCTGATTATGCAAGCACAGAAGTTAAGTGGACCATGAAAGATTCAGCAGCATCAAATATGCATAACACGTTTATATGAAGAAGTTCTGTTTGAACTTCTGAATGCACCAGCGCAGCAAAACAGTATATATGATACTGTCTCTCAAGCGTTACAACTCCATCAATGCAAGATCATATGCAACGGCTACAAACAAACAAGAATCTCCTGTTTTGGAAAGCTCATTAAACGCGTGTTATGGACATACCAAAAGTATCTTCTTATGTATTTATTGCAAAGTTTATATAAAGAAGACTAGAAGAAGATTTCAGACGAGATGAACAACGACACAAAACGTGAAAAGTCAGTAAAGCTACAAACAGTCTTCATCTTCATCAATTCATTATTAAGTTGTGTAATACATCACAAGTTTGTGATACTGTTTAGTTAGAAACACCTCTGTACACTTTTATATACAATTATCTGTTTAGTGAATTTCCTTGAGGAAACCGGGTTGTGGTTTTGGACTCAAGAAGGCTTTAGCAGTTGCTAAAGAAGTTGTAATATTCAATTGAATATAGTGAATTAAGTCCTCATTGGAGAGAGGCGAAATCACCTTGGCGGGTGGACTGGAGTAGTTTGAGATCAAACGAACCAGGATAAAAATACAGTGTTGTCTGCATTTGATTTCCAGTTTTACAATTCAACCCCCCCTTCTTGTGTTTTTCACTTCTTCACATTCGTCCTTCCATGCCAGGGAAAATTGTCTCAAGCATCATTGGTTGCAAAAAATTTCCTTAGTCGCACGATATGCCAATTTGATTGAACACCATATGACTCAAACTCCATTCTGATTTTCTCTCAGTAGTCTCATAACTATGTTAGAAGATAGATTCAAAGATATGATAAGCAATAGAAATATCACAACTTTGTTCAATATGAAATGCATGGATCAAAAATGAAATTAAGTGGAAGAGAAATGAACCTTATCAATATGGTTTGGTTAGAGGAATGACGTGCTTGCTGAACCATCACAAACTTATGTTGAAATGCTTCAGCAATCGTAGTATTATCACATACTTTCTACCTAGAAAGTCGGTCAACCTGCAATGTTACAAGAACTGTATAGTAAACAAAATAATTGTAAAAAAATAGTAAATTGGAAGCAATTAAGGTGAACCTATTAGTGGAAAGTGACATATGCAATATATCTTGATTTAATATAATTATAAATAAATAATCATTATTCCCCTTTTTAATGTCATGCAGAATGCCTGCTCGTAAATCCAAGGTGTTATAGCTCGAAAATTCTATCCTATAAGAAATACTTGTGAATGAAAGCAATAGTAGCTTCATGAGACTCATCTTCAATAAAAACACCCATTTGAACACGTATCTTGTCAACTACCTGCAAGAGATCGAACTTTTAGTTTGAATTTTAAACGTGTTACCATCATTAACTTTGTACCAACAAAACCCAAGGATATTGCTAGCAAGAGGTACCATAATATTTCAAATATAATTTCCCACAGTATTTCAAATATCATACTCTGGTTTTCTTCATATATGATGCATTATAAATAAATCTCATGACCAAAATTGGCAAAAGGACCTCAACCAATAGTAGTAATAATAGTAAAAGTAGTA